GGATGCCTCATACCAAGTAATATACCTAGTTGGGGATACTATTGTTTTATTTTACTTTTATTATAAGATTCAAACATTTAATAAACTTACATGTTCTGTGTTTTAATGTTAACGAACTTAAACTCTCAGCCAACTGTTTAAGTAAATTCACATCCTTTGAATTTCAAGGTTAAAAGCAAATTCTGTTTTGCTGTTATGTTTCAGTAAGTATTTGAAGAAATCTATTTCTTCAATATTTAAAAGATAGTATTAACTCTTTTAAAAACTGTGGTGCTTTAGAGAGCTATGATGTCTCGTTGAATTTATAAATGGTTTCTTAATGTGGTCCTTTTAATTTACAGGGTCATGTTGCTTCACAAGCTGTACTTGGAAAAGGTAAATTAATAACCTTCTCACGACTTTTTTTTTAGCAGACATCAAAGCACATAGGGGTCTCTTGCTCCTTGACAGCTTTTAGCTCTCCCTTCTTTTGGCTCTCAGCAGACTCCCTCCAGTGCCTCCTCTGATGTGCTGAGTCTAATCTTCTCTGTGCTAGAAAAATCAGATAATCTCACTTGTTAAATTCAAGCTTAAAATCAAAATAAAAAACGATCCAATTAAAGTCCCATGAGTAACATTCATGTGTTTTTAATGCATGCATGTTATGATCAAAGCACTAAAACCATTTCGAATTCCTCAGTTCCTAAATGAAACTTGACCAAGGCTCAAATCCAAAAAAGTATTACGTGGCATATGAATAAATGACATTTTGGTTCAAGAAAAGTGTATGAGAACTTTATGGCATTACCTGATAAACATAAAGCAAGATTACAGAATCACTGACTGTGGGGAGCTATGAAGTGGCTTACACAAATACGTCAATCCACTAGGTCTTTCAAGTTTTTGTTTCTCCTTCTGTCGCCTGGGTCACCCCCTCTTATATGAATATGTCTATTTACAGCAGATATTAAATACATAAACTAGCTGATTTCTGTTATATCATTATAATCGCTAAAGAATGTGTGCATAAATTTATGAGAGTGATTTCAAAATTTCTGAATGCTCTACATAAGTTATGATTAAATCGTCCTGAGTATATCAACATGAGTCTCCGTACGAACCTCCACAGATTTGATGCCTCCATGTAAATGATTCTGGCAGTAAATATTTCCTCAGAACAGACTTCACTATGTGAGTCTACAATTTTCCATGTCTTAATAACTTACTATGTAACAGTAAAGGTGTGCTTGACGTGGCTGCCTTCTGCCACACACAGATGAACCGTCAGACTGTGGACTGAATGACACAGCCCATCCTGCTGAGGGAATCAGTTTGGAAAGAGATTTGTTCAGCCAAATGACAGCAACACAAGACAAATCGCAGGAAGAGCTTATAACAGTAAATAACAGTGTTTGTAAAGAAATATGGTTAGATTTTGAAGACTTCTATATAGGCTTTCAGTAAGTAAAAATTTGTTGTTGTTAGTTCATATAGTGGATACAGAAGTGAATTTTTAACTTCTGTGTAAGAGTTAAGCCAGTGTTAGTCTGGTGTCTATGTAACACCAAACAAAAGTATCAGAGGGAAATAACGGGTGAATTGGTTTGGCCACATGAAACAGGAATAGCCAGAATGGTCTCAGGCCAGTTTCAGGTCAGTTTTCCTCAAAGACTTGTTTGTTGAATAAGATGAAGACAGTTTATTCACTGAGAAAGATCATTTTTGTCCCTTTCAGAAAACTGATTCAATACAGTTATTATTTTTTCCCAGCTTTACTGAATACAATTGACAAATACAGTTGTAAGTATTTAAAGTATACATGGTGGTGAATTGATACATAGGTACTTTGTGATGAATTGGTACACATTTACATTGTGATGAATTGATATATATGCATACATATATATATATACATACACACACACATTGTAAAAGACCACCCCATTGATGGGTATGTTAATTGGATATATATTTATCTTCTTACTGTGTGTGAGAATATTTAAATTCTAGTCTCAGTGAGTTTTAATTCTACAATAGAGTGAAATCAACTATGGTTGTCATGTTGTCCATTAGAACTTCAAACTTATTCATCTTATTACTGAAAATTTGTACCCATTTACCAACCTCTCCCTATTTCCCCCACCCCCACCCCTGGAAACCCTTTTTCTCCTCTGTGAGTTGTTATTATTTTTGTAACTTTGATCTGTCTTTATCTGTTCTGCCTGTAATTATTTGCTTCTAAGAAACCTAACATGTAGTACTAGTTTGCTGCATATAATGACAATCATCTGTTATAAATAATGTTTTTCAGGAATATATGTATTTTCCACAAGCCAAGTTCATACTGTTTTAACTTTCAAAAAACAGAATTCAAGGTAAATATACTCTGGTCTCTTCCCTTCTTAAATTTTTGATAGAATCATGCTAATGAAAAACACCTTCAAATGTATCGAGCATTTCTAAACTTGTAACATAATTATATTCAAAAATTTAATTCTTACCGTCTTCTACTAATCTCTTATCCAGACAATAAGCCAAATTCCACTACTTCCTACCCCCAAGTGTGATGTACCTGATTATGTTACCATGGTTCATTAGTATATCAATTCATGTTAGGGAAATTTTGACTTACGAATAAATGAAGGAAAAGCCCAAATAAATTTACTATATGTGACTTCAATTGGTGTTTACTGACTTGCACACAATTCCTAAAACGTAAGCACATTTTCACTATCATTTCTGTTATTTTTGCCCACGTTCTTCCCTCTGCCTGGCATTCATTCACCATCCTTATCACCTCCACCTGGCCAATGCCTCGAAGTCCTTCAGAACAACATGGGTGTCCTTGACCCCGTGAGACCTCTGTCCCTGGCCATAGAGTCTGGGTCAGGTACCCTGGCTCCACGCACTCTGTGTGACTTGTCCTCACCCGGACACTTTCCTCCCTCCATCCTCTGCCTGATCACTTCTCTGTGCCCCTCCTCCTCTCCGTCCACTCAATGTCAGCATCGTAAGGAGGACTCCGTCCTTTTCCTTACTGTTGCAGTACAGGTCCTGGCCTGAGGTCAAACCTTGGTAAAAAATAAAACTGTTGAATGGAGGAATGAATGAATGAATAATTATTTAAAAATGTCACATTGAGTGGAATTTGAGGGGAAACTATGAAACATATTCTGGGAAACTCAGTTGTACTGAAACTTGCATGTTGTTTGGATGGGGCCGTACAAGCCCTCAGTGTTAATACCACATCTTCATGAGCTGGACGCAGAGTTGGGGGAAGTAAGGAGTCTCGGGGATGACTCCTCCCTTTGCTCTTGTACTAGATGAAAACGCAGGCAGAGAAAACCTTATGAGCATTCCTC